ATTAAGTTTTATACAAATTACATGACATAATTTTTTAGATAATTAATTATAATAGTTAGACTTTTCAAAGCGCTAGTGAATAGACATTTTATAGGCTGAACGAGTTTACAATCTCGGATATGGGGTACTATCAGAACATATAAAATATCAGGAGGGATCTTAGCCAAGCGTTGACGTATTCGTGATAAAAGATACATCTTTAAAGTTAGTAAGTGAAAGTTTGACGTCTCAGCAATGAGTTCTGCGCTAAAGGCCGCGGGTTCGAATCCCACACGGAATAAGTATTTGTATGGCCTACAATGTTCCGGGTCTGGATGTTTGTCCTCGTGCAATTTATGTATGTAAACTGCCTCCATGATATAGGAGAAAATCCTAGTCTATAATATTTTTCAAAAAAAATCTTATATAGATTGAGTCAGCTTATCAATAGTGGAGGCAGTATGATTATGAAATTATTCATTTTCATTAAAGTATGTATTGTGAAAACACACATTCGTGGAAACTAGTTCAAATTACTAGAGCTTTTTTTAACAATTTAATTTGAGTTATTCAATTATTTAACACCTTTTATGAAAAGAAATTTTTGTGTTTTGAATATTGTTATAAAATATAAAATATATTATTTCTATTGAACAATATTTGGTGACATAATTCTCAGCGCTTGAATTCTCAAAAAAGTAACATAAATCTAGTCAACTTTACAGAGAAAGAAAAGCGTTCATAATTTTTAACGTCGTCAGCTATTATAAAGTTATTTTGTATTAATCAGTGAAATAAAAGCAATAAATTAAGTATTATTAAATCTGTATTTTTACTTTACCTGTTTCATGAATAGTACGTGAAAATTTTGGTATTATATAAAAACAACTTAACAGCTGGATATACCTTATAATAATAGTAATGTCATCTAGACCAAATTTAGATCACGGCGACATGTGTCAGTGGAGACAAACCTACGCAGAACGGGATAGATTAGTGCACGAATGAGTGCGCTAAAATGGAAGGTGCACTCTATTCCTTCACTCTCATTAGTCCTTTGGGATGGCCACCAAACACGACCGGAGGGATCACACGCAGGACCAAAGGCTTTCAAAGGCACGGGGATGAAACACCGCCTACTTTAACCAACGACGCCGGGCTGTTTGATAATTTCTTGACAGAAAAAACCATTAACTGATTTTTTGGCTCGACCCAAGATTCGAACCCGAGACCGCATGATCAGCCAGAGCGCCTAAAACTACTAGCGGTAGAACAGCTGGATATATATCCACCCATCCATCCATCTGTTAACACTGCTGAACATAGGCCTTCCCCAAAGATTACTTTAAGGGAGGGATTTTGCCAAAGTTGCTACGCTTGGCAGGCAGCCGCAGTTTGTTTTATGATTTTGAGTAATTATAACGATGATATTACTGTCCGTAAACTGTTTCGGTTACTCTCTGTCGCCTCTTACGACACACATTGTATGATATGGTGTAGTGGATATTCTTACACCGTCACTACACAATTATGTAACATATCCAATAAATATCAATAATTCAAAACAAAAGGATCATCTTATGGAATTGCTGAATATCACGATAAGTGTGTCGGTCTTCCATGTTGAAAGGGGAAGGGTTGCTAACTCTGCGGGCATAGACTTATCTATGCCATCAACATAAGGACCCTTTCCGAGTCTGAAACATACGATACCTGGGTATGTCACAAAATATAATAATTTTGAGAATATATGTAGTGTTTTTTTGACAACATACCCAGCTTTTGCATGGTTGAATTGTCGATTTTTTTTATAGAAGCATGTATGACAAATGACCACAGAGTAAACCTCATCATCATCATCATCGTTACAGCCCTTCACAAGTCCACTGCTGAACATAGACCTCCCCCAAGGAATGCCACAAAGCACGGTCCTGAGCCACCTGCATCCATCGACTTCCTGCATATCTTTTCCCTCGCCTGCCGGTACGATGCTGCCACTCGAGAACCTTTTTTCCCCATCGGTTGTCGGTTCTTTGAGCTATATGGCCGGCCCATTGCCACTTCAGCTTACTAATCCGTTGGGCTATGTGGGTCACTCTGGTTCTACTGCGGATATCCTCATTTCTAAGTTTATCACGCAGAGAAATTCCGAGCATAGCCCTCTCTATAGCTCGCTGAGCGACCTTGAGCTTGCTCATCCGGCCAGCAGTGAAGGACCACGTCTCAGTTCCATATGTCATCACTGGCAACACGCACTGGTTGTACAGTCTCGTTTTCAAGTTTTGAGGTATACCTGACGAGAAGATGTGCCGTAATTTCCCGAACGCTGGCCAACCGAGTTGAATCCGTCGATTGATAAGCGAATAAAATATCTGGACCTAACTCACGATGTGACGAACATGTGGGGCGCTCTGCTGACCGAAATTATTCCTGTAGTCGTCACTGCGAACGGGCTAATTTTGGCCAGCCTGTCGGGACATCAGAGGCGAATGGGACTCCGTGACTCACAGTTCTGGGCTTAAATACAGAAGGCGGTGCTCCTCAAAACCGCCTGCATCGTCCACTAGTTTCTTTCCCTTTCCCCCTAACACTCGGCTGTTTGGTCTCCCCTGCCGAAGGCTTCCGTCTGGTTGGGTTTTTATTTATTTATGCAATGTTTATATATTTTACTATATTTTTTTTTAACACATATATTTATGCAGCCGAACCAAATAAGAATATTCTAGAAATACTTACCCCATAATAATAACTAAGGGATATTAACCCAATATATGTCAAATTCCTGTGCGCCAACTGGTACACTAGTACACAACTAGTACACACCTCGAAAGATTGACCCATATTTACCACACTGCAAATCACAGAGTTGATGCCTTCGCACTGGAGATGCTGTAGACCATCATCAATTTGTAGATGTTATATAATAGACCTGGACTGACGACCAGTAGTAGTGTGAATGGACCATATTTTTGTGGCATACGAGGGCGGCACTGAAAATTTCGGGAATCAAGGAAGTGACACAACATTACTATTCAAAGATGTATTTATTGCTTTTCGAAGTATTCTCCACGAAATTTGACACATTTTTCCATACGATGGAACCAATCATTGAAGCAACCATTCCATTCGGAAGTTGGGGTCTCCAAAATGGCCGTTTTGTAGGCGTCAACAGCTTCTTCAGGTGATGAAAATCTCTGTCCACGCAATTTATTCTTTATTTTAGGGAAAGTATAGAAATCATTAGGGCTTAGGTCGGGGCTGTACGGCGGATGGTCTAATAATTCTATGTTTTCTTGCTCTAAAAACTCTTTTGTTCTGTGTGCGGTGTGAGAACTCGCATTGTCGTGATGGAGGATGATGCGGCGGTTGCAGTTCTCTTTACGGCGTTCAGAAACGACCTGTGACAAACAAATGCTAGCATACCATTCTGTACTAACCGTTCTTTGTCCCTCAAGAGGGATATTCGTAACATGGCCGGTTTTGGAGACAAACGTGGCCACCATTTTTTTGCAACACTCCGTGAACGAACAATTTTTGTTGGCTTTAACTCATTTTCGAACACCCAAACTCGTGACTGGTTTTTTGTTTCGGGTTCGTACGCGTATATCCAGAATTCGTCACCTGATACGATATTGTATATAGCATTTGAGGATCCTGCGTGGAATCTTTCGAGAGTTCTGACGCACCAAGTAACGCGAGCCGCTTTTTGCTCTTCACAGAGCGAATGCGGTATCCATCGGGAAAACAACTTTTTTACACCTAATTGTTCATGCAAGATTATTTGTATTTGACTCATGCCAATGTCTAAAGTTGCCTGAATTTCTTGGTATGTCACATGTCAATCTTCCTCAATCAGCTTACGCACAGCATCAACGTTTTCTTGGGTGACTGCAGTTTTTGGACGACCTTGACGGGGAGCATCACTGAGCTTGACACGTCCACATTGAAATTCAGCAAACCAGCGATAAGTTGTGGTTTTGGATGGGGCTTCATCACCAAATGCAGAAATTATCCGGTCAACACACCGTTTTTGTGTTAAACCACTTCGAAAGTCATAATAAATCATCGCTCTTGAATTTTCTCGGGTCAATTCCATTTTCTCAACGACTAAACAAGTTTGATAAAACCTTGTGGCAAGACCGAGAATCTTTTTTTAAATAAATAAATGGTATTCGATTTTTAAAACCAAGGAATTTTCAATTAAAAAGATTTTAATATGACAGGAACAGTGGAAATATTCCATTCCCGATACTTTTAGTGCAGCCCTCGTATAAGAGAGAGAGGCAGCAACACAAAAAAAAATTCTGAACAAAGGTTACACAGTGTACGTGTGGTGGCAGCAAAATCCATCACCCAAGTCCGCCCCGTGGGTGTCATAAGAGGCGACTATGGAAAATGCCAGAAAAAGCTTATAGCTTCCAAAAGGCGGTACAACTGTTTTGTTTACGCCAGAATTAAAATACCTAGACCGGCGGTGGGCAGCAGCGTCAAAGCTGTGAGATGTCTGTCACTGCGATTGTCAATCCGTTTGCCAAGCAAGGCGATTAAGGAAAGTCCACTCTCCAATTACGGGAGAGGCCCGGTAGTTGAATATTACAGGCTCGAGAAGATACCGCTATTTATCGCTTCCCAGAGTCTCCTTTTGTTAATCAGTGGGATGCATCACGTGCAGATGAAATATGCAACCGGATATTTTTTATATCACCTTGCACCCTTGATATTCCTTGTTGTCTGCAATAAATTGATTGTGAAATAATATGAAATAAAAGCTGATTTAACGATGCCTAATTAATTATTATTATATTAGTCTTTTATAGATTAAACATTTAAAAGTAATATTTATAAATAATACTGTGAAAATGTTCGATCATTAAAACGTCTATGGTAATACTTACTACAATTATTTATTTATTTTTAACACTTAACACGTTATAGTATTTAATGAAATGTTTTAGAAAGGGAAGTATTGTACAAAAAGTTACATACGTTGAGTTCATACATAAAAATTAAAAGTGCACACCTCACAGACGTTTTGTACCAATGATTTTATCAGCCAGCGCATACAACTCTTCCACGGTCTGTAACAAAATGGAAAAAGAAACAATTACTGTAAATAGATGCAATGTAGAATGTATTACCAATACAAGTTTAAGTGTCTGTAAAGATTTTAGTATCAGCTTCGTTTCTTCAACATCACAAGATATCGAGCTGTAGTGTAGTAAACAATTTTTATGCCTAAAAAGTAAACTACTTAAATGTTAAGAGTTTCATAAGGCTATATCTGTACGAGTACAATAACTTTAAATGATTAAGTTTGCGCTTTTAGTTCCAAATTGCCAAGAATAAAATAAGTACTTCTACGTCTATTTTCAATATAATGACACCGGTAGACATTCGTGTATCTGTCTCGCTTTATTTTGTGGTCGTGAACTCTGTTCAGTTGCCATCTTTGCGTTTTTGAGACAACAATACAACGTCTGTAGATAATGCAGTGCGTAATAATAATTGATGACCAACTCCGCTGGGCTGATTTCCTTACATTGTTAATTATATTCCGAGTTTCAGATTAGGAGCCGGTCACATGATCGCCGGTCAACGATCACTTTAAAGAGTAATTTTGTTTCAGTAGTGAACGTGTTCTTTAAATGTCTATTTTTGTTAAGAGTACTTGGGTAATGATTGAGCTAGAAAGTTTCTTCCCTTATCCAATAAAATTAAAAATCGTTATTAAATTTATCCGGACAGGATAGAATGGTGAATGTTATATAATATCTCAATGAAGCCTATAAGCAATTTCACTGCAAGTATTATTAAACTCTGACGATTTAAATGAGACAAAAAAATGTGTATCAAAAATTTTATAAGAAATGTGTGGTGCCTCGTGATGGCGGCACAAAATAATCCATCAACCTATTTCATTAATATATTGCCGTAAGCGTCAATTATGGGAAATACCAAAAACATGGCAAGTCCATCTCGTTTATACCAGACTTAATACTTTCACTATCCGGTTTCCAGACAACAGCAATGAACCATATGCGGGTCACGGGACAGTGAAAATGTTAAATTACCCTGGCAGGCAATGGGAAATCGCGTCAGAGGTACGAAGTACATATCCGCCTGCTATCTACGACGGAAGAGGCTCAAAAATTGCCTGATTTTGGTCTCAAAATGGTTTTTCTTTATCAAAAAAACACTATGTATTGCAAATCTAACTTAATCTAGAACGATAGCAAAATAGTTTTATAACATTTCATCGTGGTACATAAACATAGGGACTGTTTGCAAAACGTGAGTCATAAAATAGTGTCCAACAAACTTTGTTACAAGATCATGTTACAAAGAAAAAAAAAACTATAAAATATGAAAAATATACAATGTAGTATATTGAAAATTAAGCATGAAAATTAAGTAATTAGATAACTTTGGCTAACGGATTTTCGTCATAAATTTAATAGCGCTCATATTATAAACCATGTTAAATTATAACCTATTCAAAGACTTCGTTTTTCCATCACTATACTACTTATCATTTTAGTTTATTGAACTTTCTATGGGTCGAAGTAGTTTCAATATTATTTAGTTAGATTTAATATTTATCAGGAAATATCCTCGTTTCATTTATGTGACAACATTTGTGTGAGAAAAATAAATATAATCCACAGTTCACATATTTTTTACAACCCACACGATTTTGATCTTTCCAGCAGTCTTTTCTTTCTGTCACTACTATAATATGAATATATTTGTTAAAAACTTTTTTAAACCATTGAAGCATTAAATCTCAATCAGGTTTTAAAATAAGCAATGGTCGGAAATCATTCTTTTTTATGGACCATATACCTTTATTTAATTGTGCACGGTATAGTGAAAAATGAACTAAATTAATTAATTATATTTTATTAATTCTAAATGCAATCACTTTCAATTTTATTTGTTTTGTAGCATCAAGAACGTGATTACCGACTGCATGATGGGGTGACTTTTGTAGGTTAATCACTCGTTAATACACTTAGGTTTCAAGACAGAACTAGCTAGTTAAGATTAGTTCTTAATAAATAAACAGATAAGTAGAAAAGGTACTTTGTTCGATCACGATTATAACAAATTAATAATTATCCCACATAAAAAAGAAATTTTATTTACAGTTCTTTTTATCATCATCATCATCATTACAGCCCTTCACAAGTCCACTGCTGAACATAGGCCTCCCCCAAAGAATGCCACAAAGCACGGTCCTGAGCCACCTGCATCCATCGACTTCCTGCATATCTTACCAGGTCGTCACTCCATCTAGTGGGGGGACGCCCTACACTTCGCCTGCCGGTACGAGGCTGCCACTCGAGAACCTTTCTTCCCCATCGGTTGTCGGTTCTTCGAGCTATATGGCCGGCCCATTGCCACTTCAGCTTACTAATCCGTTGGGCTATGTCGGTCACACTGCTTAGGTCCTCCAGCGATTCTGCCATAAGGACTATATCGTCGGCAAATCGAAGGTGAGTGATGTACTCGCCATTGATGTTGATACCGTATCCTTTCCAGTCCAGAAGTTTGAAAACATCTTCCAATGCAGCGGCAAAGAGTTTCGGGGATATGACGTCACCCTGTCTTACACCTCTCTGCAATTGGATAGGTTTCGTACTCTGGTTCTGTACTCGGATAGCCATCGTAGCCCTACTGTACAAGCACTTCAACACTTCGATATACCGACAGTCAACTTGGCATCGCTGAAGGGACTGCAGCACCGCCCAAATTTCGACGGAATCAAAGGCTTTCTCATAGTCCACATACGCCAGACATAGTGGCAAATTGTACTCCTCGGACTTCTGTACAATTTGCCGAAGGGTATGTATGTGGTCTATGGTGCTAAAGCCTTTTCGGAAACCGGCTTGTTCGGGAGGATGGAAGTCGTCAAGTCTGCGCGCGAGACGATTCGTAATGACTCTCGAAAACAGCACGTAAATGCGGCTCAGAAGGGAAATCGGTCTGTAGTTCTTCAAGAGAGCGTTGTCGCCTTTCTTGAAGAACAAGACCACCGCACTTCTGCTCCACGCCTCCGGTGTAATGCCACCATGGAGGACGGAATTAAAAAGCTTCTGAAGGACTTCAAGTACCGGTTTTCCACCCGCTTTCAGAAGCTCCGCTGTAATTCCATCCTCGCCTGGGGCCTTGCCGTTTTTAAGGTGCTGGAGAGCCATTCTAATCTCGCTCAGACAGACGTCCGGGATATCATCGGAATAATGTCGGATAAGACTCGCTCTTGGATCGTTACTCACACTTGCGTGAGGCTCCAACGATCGCTCAAAATCTCAGGTGCCCTGGAAACGATGCTGCCACATTCGGTCTTCAGCTTTGACAGTTGGCTCTTTCTGGCAGACAGATCTCTGGCAAAGACTTTGGAGCCTTGGTTCCGCTCTATACGAGCTGTATTGAAGTTGCGTAAGTCCCGCCGCATGCATTTGGAGATCTGTCTGTTCAGTTGCCTGTATGCTGTAAAATCTGTTAAAGAATGTAGCTTCATCTCCCGTCTAACAGCCATGAGATTAAGAGTGTGATCGGAGACTTTTTGTGTTCTTCTGCGGCGGGTCTTGCAGAACCTAGCTCCGACCGCATGGACAGTTTCCACGAGCTTGTCATTCATATCGTCCACTTCATTGCAGTCTTCTAGGCACTGAAAACGGTTTTGTAACTCGAGCTGAAAGGTTTCGGGACTTTGGATTAGAGCACGAGGGGGACGGAGCGTTGACTTCATTAGACGAGACCTCTCCAACTTAACGTTTAGGTCCAGTGTGCCTCTAACCATTCGGTGATCGCTGCCGGTTTTCACCCTCGCGATCACTGAGACATCACTGAACAGTTGTCGTCTGGACGTCATAATGAAGTCAATCTCATTTTTGTCGAACCGTCGGGGCTCGACCAGGTCCACTCCCTGTGGGGCCGCTTCTGGAAGAAAGAGTTCATCATAAAGAGTCCCTCTTTCTCCATGAAGTCGGCCAGCTGCTGGCCCCTTGGGTTCCGTTGCCCTATTCCAAATTTCCCTACCTTCAGCTCACCGTTCTCTCTTGTGCCTAGTTTTGCATTGAAGTCTCCCATTAACACCGTATATTAGGTTTTGGAGGAATGCATGGCTCTAGAGATATCCTCATACATTTCCTCCACCTCCTGATCGGGGTATGCCGAGGTTGGTGCGTAAACCTGTATGACCTTCAGCGAATACCGTTTGGTGATTCTGAGTATAAGGTACGCAACCCTCGTCGACACACTCTCAATCTTTACAACGTTGTTAACGAGAGACTTGTGGACGATAAATCCGACACCTCCTTGGGACAGATGGTCCCGGTAATAGAGCAAGTTGCCGGATTCGAGGATTACCGTGTCCTCCCCCTCTCTTCGGACTTCGGATAATCCTATAATATGCCAGCGTAACTTGTCTATCTCTTCTTCCAGCTCCACAATCTTCTCGTCAGTCCTCAGGGTGCGTGCGTTGTATGTTGCCAGGTCGAGTTGTCGTAGGTGGCAACCGAACCTCCACCGGAGATTCTTAGCACCCCCTGCCCCGCCGTTACCATGGTCGCCACCGTAGCCAGGAATAGCGGGGCCGCCGGGGACTGGGGGCCGTCTCTTCGTAACTTTCATCATGGTTCTTTTTATACGATTAAATTAATTTTATTCTTTTACATTCTTTACTTTAACTCAATGAAATGATCTCTAGGCTTTTATATTCATGACAAATATTTTACGTAGATAACAAATATGGAATTTTTGTAGATGTCACACTGTGTAGATCGTTGGGCAGTTAGCTGAAATATTTGTGAATAAAGCTACTGACTTTTTACAACTATTTGTTTTTCATACATATGTGATAAGAGGCTATAGAACCCGCAGTCAGCACACGGCTAAGGGGTCTAGTTTAAGATGTTTGTAATTGTAAATGATATAAAAAAGACGAACTTGGAATATATTAAAATGTTTTATCCAGCCCGGGCGTATTGCCACTTACTATTAGGAGATAACTTGGAAAACGTGTACACTATTAAACTAAAATTGCAAATAGTTTATCACGTTTAAGAAAGAGAAACATTAGTAATGTTACAATCTAACTGGTCATTATTAACTTTAACTTTATTTTGTGGTAACATTTTATTAAATTTACGAGATTAAAGGTTTTAGACAGAAAAATGTAATGTATTGTTCGATAACAATATATAGGCTATTGACTTTTAATAATTATTGTCAAATTGTATATAATGAACGTTATTAGTTATCTTAGTTATAGTAGCTCTTTTGTACTTAATGAGCTAGATAATGGCCGTGTAGTGGCGGTTAAGAATATCCACTACCCCATATCTTCCCGTGGGTGTCGTAAAAGGCGACAAAGGGAAACAGGCAGGAGATGGGCAGCAGCATCTTCCTGATAATAGCCAAAATAACAATAAAAAAACTGCGGTTGCCAACCCGCTCGCCAAGCGTGGCAACTATGGCAATATACCCCCCATGAGCAATGACAATAATAAACGGCCCCCAGTCCCCGGCGGCCCCGCTATTCCTGGCTACGGTGGCGACCATGGTAACGGCGGGGCAGGGGGTGCTAAGAATCTCCGGTGGAGGTTCGGTTGCCACCTACGACGACTCGACCTGGCAACATACAACGCACGCACCCTGAGGACTGACGAGAAGATTGTGGAGCTGGAAGAAGAGATAGACAAGTTACGCTGGCATATTATAGAATTATCCGAAGTCCGAAGAGAGGGGGAGGACACGGTAATCCTCCTGTTAGACGGGAGATGAAGCTACATTCTTCAACAGATTTAACAGCATACAGGCAACTGAACAGACAGATCTCCAAATGCATGCGGCGGGACTTACGCAAATTCAATACAGCTCGTATTGAAGAAGCGATCGAGCGGAACCAAGGCTCCAAAGTCTTTGCCAGAGATCTGTCTGCCAGAAAGCGCCAACTGTCAAAGCTGAAGACAGAATGTGGCAGCATCGTTTCCGGGGCACCTGAGATTTTGAGTGAGATTGAGAGGTTCTATGGGCAGCTGTACACGTCATCGTTGGAGCCGCACGCAAGTGTGAGTAACGATCCAAGAGCGAGTCTTATCCGACATTATTCGGATGATATCCCGGACGTCAGTCTGAGCGAGATTAGAATGGCTCTCCAGCACCTTAAAAACGGCAAGGCCCCAGGCGAGGATGGAATTACAGCGGAGCTTCTGAAAGCGGGTGGAAAACCGGTACTTGAAGTCCTTCAGAAGCTCTTTAATTCCGTCCTTCATGGTGGCATTACACCGGAGGCGTGGAGCAGAAGTGCGGTGGTCTTGTTCTTCAAGAAAGGCGACAACGCTCTCTTGAAGAACTACAGACCGATTTCCCTTCTGAGCCGCGTCTACGTGCTGTTTTCGAGAGTCATTACGAATCGTCTCGCGCGCAGACTTGACGACTTCCAGCCTCCCGAACAAGCCGGTTTCCGAAAAGGCTTTGGCACCATAGACCACATACATACCCTTCGGCAAATTGTATAGAAGTCCGAGGAGTACAATTTGCCACTATGTCTGGCGTATGTGGACTATGAGAAAGCCTTTGATTCCGTCGAAATTTGGGCGGTGCTGCAGTCCCTTCAGCGATGCTAAGTTGACTGTCGGTATATCGAAGTGTTGAAGTGCTTGTACAGTAGGGCTACGATGGCTATCCGAGTACAGAACCAGAGTACGAAACCTATCCAATTGCAGAGAGGTGTAAGACAGGGTGACGTCATATCCCCGAAACTCTTTACCGCTGCATTGGAAGATGTTTTCAAGCTTCTGGACTGGAAAGGATACGGTATCAACATCAATGGCGAGTACATCACTCACCTTCGATTTGCCGACGATATAGTCCTTATGGCAGAATCGCTGGAGGACCTAAGCACTATGCTCAATGACCTCAATAGTGTTTCCCAACGGATAGGTCTTAAGATGAACATGGACAAAACAAAGATCATGTTTAATGTCCATGTCACACCTATGCCGGTAGTTGTTGGGAACACTAAGCTCGAAGTTGTTGACGAGTATGTTTACCTGGGACAAATAGTCCGACTAGGTAAGTCCAACTTCGACCGAGCGGTCAATCGACGGATTCAACTCGGTTGGGCAGCGTTCGGGAAATTACGGCACATCTTCTCGTCAGGTATACCTCAAAACTTGAAAACGAGACTGTACACCCAGTGCGTGTTGCCAGTGATGACATACGGAACTGAGACGTGGTCCTTCACTGCTGGCCGGATGAGGAAGCTCAAGGTCGATCAGCGAGCTATGGAGAGGGCTATGCTCGGAGTTTCTCTGCGTGATAAACTCAGAAATGATGATATCCGCAGTAGAACTAGAGTGACCGACATAGCCCAACGGATTAGTAAGCTGAAGTGGCAATGGGCCGGCCATATAGCTCGAAGAACCGACAACCGATGGGGAAGAAAGGTTCTCGAGTGGCAGCCTCGTACCGGCAGGCGAAGTGTAGGGCGTCCCCCCACTAGATGGAGTGACGACCTGGTAAGATATGCAGGAAGTCGATGGATGCAGGTGGCTCAGGACCGTGCTTTGTGGCATTCTTTGGGGGAGGCCTATGTTCAGCAGTGGACTTGTGAAGGGCTGTAATGATGATGATGATGAGCTAGATAAGTTCTTTGACCTGTTGTGCTTATAAGTATCAAAATGTACAAATTTATTTTGTATGTCTATTTTGTTTAATTTATTACACATTTTACTACCGTCTTCGTCCGTTCTCATTTGTCTTTCTATTTGTCATTTTAGTAAATTAAGTTAAAAAAATTTAATACTAAATATTAAAAAAATCATGATATACTACAATATTTGTTAACATTTTTTAGAAATACAGACTAAAGTTTACCGGTCCAAAGACCAAGATTATTATTTCACATCCCTTTAGACATTTGTTTTGCGTTCTACATCACGGGGCAATCTAAACATGGAAGGGTCACTTAGAGTAAGTAGCTATCTGGTTAGATCGGGTTTGACACGAGCCTTGTAACTTGTACATAAACATACGATATCTAATAAAAGTAATAAATCTAAGATGGTTCACGGGGATTCGTTAGTAACACTGAAGACCTTTTGACACCCTGACATAATTTGCTTGATCAAGATTATTCGAGTCACATAATTTTTATAAATAACAGTGTGAGTGTGAGAGTATCAGTAATTTATGATCTCTTGACGCAATCTTGAGGTGACCTTTGTCCACAGTATGAGCCGTGGTAGATGAGTGGTTAAGCGTTCGCCGTAAATTTCGCAGTATTAGTGCAACCCGGATTCGATTCCCGCAGGAACCAATGAAATTGTTATGTTATTTTAAGTGATAATTTACTACGTGCACGGCGTTGCAGCAACACTTAGTGATGAAACCTTCATGTCTGAAGAATACAATATTTTGAGCAAATTAATGTTCCTCCATAACCTTCTCAGCTGTGAGAGGAAGCTTGTACCACATGAGTAAAGAAACCCTCCGGTCGGTTTTTTTTCGGCAAAGCTTCTTATTATATTTTCTTTAAAACGTTTACACTTTTGTAACACGATGTGTGATAAAAATGCTTTTCAGGCGGTAATTAGAATAGTGAAGATCAATGTTAGTTCTGATTTTTAATTTTTCAGTTTATTTTTAGTTTTCCTTCGCGGTTTTATAAATTATGAAACAATAATTATGGATACTACTGGATGGATAATAAAAATATTAGCGATATTTTTGCTCAAGCAATTCAACAAAAGCGATAAATATCTTGACGTATATGTACGAGATATCTATATCAACCACATTAAAAATTATAAATAATAATTACGTACTAATTACCTAGTGGAGTCTTTGGGATAGTTAAGAAATGATATATTTTTATTAACTTTATCTGCTTTTAACAAATTGCATATATACCTACTATCAATAATAATTATTAATTGTGTATATACGTTCTATTATTTTTAATTCACACAGTACAGTACAGTTTATATGACACCTTTTATAATAAAAGCGTTTATTTTAAATCAAACAAGATAACAAAACAAGCACGATGCGCGACGTGTACACCCTGCATTACTCACGTGCCCTGAGTTTAAGCACTGGCCGAGCCGAGCCGGTTTAAAGCAGTTCACCCCTGTACGTGATGGGCCGCAAGTGATCACGCGGACACGCGCCTTAACCTTTTAATAGTGTACCTATCATAATGCGGTTGTATGAAGCTTTGATTACTGGTCCGTTTCTTTACTCACGTACTTGTGCCACACAGTCCACCTGATGGTAAGTAGATGCTGTGGCCCCTAGACACCCACATTTATACTCAATTAAGAATCAAAATGCAGATGCGTTGTTACCCCTGAGGACTAAGATGAAATGCCTCATTTTCAGTAAAAAGGGGATCCGGTTCTCTACACTAACCATACAAAACACATTAAGCTCCAATTTTACGATGGTATTCTGTGAGAGCGTGGTTCTGCCACGGTCGAGCCGACCCATTCGTGATGCAACCATAATATAGCTGCAGGGTGGCTCTACCAAGTATAAAATAATAATCTAACCTTTCTAAACAAAACCCAAGAATTTAAAAAAAAAAACAACCAAACGAGACTTCATATTATATAAATTAGTGTTATAAACATTGAAATTTGCTTAACTTACGCTAATTTGTGCTTTAGCTCCCCATGCCCTTTAGGTTCTTCACCATAAAATCATAGTTTTATCCATGTTAATACCTAAACATCATAATTTTTTTTCGGGGTTAAAGTGGCATATTATAATATAAATTATCATTAAAAATATATTGTTCTAAACTCTCTCAAAAATATTGCGCGTTGCCGTTTATTGATACGGCACGGCATTAGTTTGTAATATTAAACTTCACGGAAGGCGTTACTGACTGTGTATAGACGCTCATTGAATACTACATGTGAAGTGGTATGGTTTTATATTATGTAAAACTGATGTGATTAAATATGTAATTTTCTTAATATATAATATCATAATTTTATAATAACTATAATATTACCGTAAGATTTTTCAGTGTTTTAATGTCGTTGGTCTCGTATTTGAGTTGCGCAAATTGTTCTTCAGTGAAACGAACGCCTCTCCCGATGTCTGCTATTTTACGTTCTTCCAACTCTTCATGACATTTAGCAAGTAATTGTTGGGGTGTAAGTTTTTCAGATTCTTCGTCAATTTCCTCAGGTTCAGTCTCTTCTTCCATTGTCTGAAGACATTCAAGTACATATTATTACGATCCTATGTTATGAGTTAATACGAGTCTTTCAGATTTAGTTGTAAAATTGTAGGTATGTGTAAAATAGAAGCATTATTACCATCCTTTTGTAGTTTTATATTATTTTGTTATTTGTTATACTTTGTTTATGTTGTATTTTTATGTTGTATTAAAGCCTACCCGTTGGGAGACGGTAAATATTTTGATAATCATCCAAATAGGTCACCAAAGTAAATGCGTTTGTTCGCACCATAAAAATCAAAAATATAGTTCTCATACGTTTAGATTATGTTTTCCTTCTTTGTATTTATTTATGTAATTTTTATGTTATTTATGTCTATCATATTTGTTTGTTTTGCATATATTAGTGTTTTGTCTCGTTATTTTAATTACTTAATATATTTTTTCATTCATTTAGTTATTAGTGCGAGTATGTAAGTTTATTATAATATTATACACCTCCTTCTATCCAATAGTTAAATTTTTCTTTAAGATTAAGGTGGTCTGGAAAAGATATCCCTTTAGCGATGAAACCACCTTATTTGCGCATCAAGTTTTTCTTCCTATAGTCTATTTTTAACTTCCCGCTATGAAAATCAATGATTATCAAAAGTGGGAAGTTATTGGTTTCACCTCTGTTCGAAAATCGAGGTTTCATCAGATCTTGAGGTCCTAGAAAGCTATTCTGACTATTCCTACGAGGATGTCAGTACGTCTGTATGTATGCGCGCGCGCGCGCCTTTGTGTGTGTGTGTGTGTGTGTGTGTGTGTGTGTGTGTGTATGAGCGCATGTGTGTGTGTGTATGGATGTATGTAACCTTCTCATAACTTTTGAATGGCTTGACCGATTTGAATAACCTTGGCGGCGTTCGAAAGGGCTTACCAATCTTAAATCAGACGGGTAGATTTTGAGAAATCTCAAAAATAAAATTTTCAAAAAAACGTTTTTTTGTAATAACTTTAATAACAATCGATTCCAAAATCTAAGAGCTGAGAAGAAGAGAGTTTTTGAGTTTAAGAAGATATCTTAAAATCAAAAAACTCCGTCGATTGCTGCAAATTTCGAAATTTCGAAAAAAGTATTTTTTTCAAATATCTTTGAGATTTCTTCTAAGATAGATTTTGATGTAAAGAATTAATATAATAGATGAAATTTGAAGCGCTTTGCATTTTAAATTAGCGGGAAATTCCAGGGATAGCCTGCAGGGTGAACAGTATTTTTTTTTTCGTGTTTTGTATTGATATATCAATAGTCGTTACCTGATCAAGTTTTTGTGACGCCTTTAATTTTCTGTAATAAGCTTCTGCTCTTTTCTTTGATGCCTTAGCAACTTCTTTGTTAACCATTCGCCAGAAAACGAAAACGGGATGATGAAGCAACTCGGGAGGACACTCTTTAAGAGGCGTTTTTCCAACAAGTATCAGTCGTTTCAGTCTTTCCATCTCATCGAGCTGTTAATTTAAGAGTTAGAGTTAATAGTTAAGATTTATTTATTACTCTAAGTGTTTGTTATCGAAACTGTGAAGAATTTTCTATAAATGAATATAAATGAAATAAATTGTACAAAATTCCAAGCCAATGTATGTAATAAAATGTTTAATAAAAACTGTTAAACATATGAAAATAATTAGTTGAAATTCGCGAGCGTTTTTACGCGGATCTTACCTAACAAATTTTCTCAAGTCTAATTCAATGAATTTCCGCAAAATAAAGCCTGATTTTATGAACTCTAGACACATTATTTATTACGCACGGTTCTTAGAAATTTTATAACATTCATCTGACTAATCCTAGGAAATGTACACGTTGTGTGTATACCCTGGAAGATAAAATGGCGGCAAGTCATAATGTGCCTATCCAATTAACAGTTATATCGTGAAAAGCTTAACGCTTTCAAGGTTAGATAAATTGGCAAGTCAGACCAAGGACATATAAATCGATAGAATTTAAAATTCCTATCTAGAGAAAGTATATCTCTCGTTCTGTCAAGGCAAAATGATTAGTGACGACGATAGTCAATAGCAAAAAAAATCGTCCTTGCATTGAATTGAATTAATTGAATGAAGAAAAGCAAACTAAGAGTAATTATTGTTGGCGTTAACAGAGAACCTAATTCTCATCATCGCATGCCCAATCAATGTTTAACAAGTACTTTGAAAGTAATAAAACTTTAATATTTAGTGATTGTAACATTATTTCATAATGCAAGTAGGTTCCCACTATGGTAGCTACTGCATTATTTGTATAATAAAGAAATTAGATTTAATAATATTTTAAAGAAACAATTCGCGAACTGATTTTGTTTTTCATCTTCAACGAAATTTAACACAGCATGGTGCTTGATTGAAAATTAAGAAGTTCTTCTGGTTCAGATGTTCGTCTGGTGCAATTACTTTTTTTTTTAGTGAAAACTTCTTTATGCACGTTGGGTACTTTTGGAACGGGGAAAAAAACAAACGTCACGCTGAGATACATATATGTATACAGATGTATGTGTAAGCTAAGACGTTTTCACATCTAACGTGCAGTCCTACGACCGACAGTTTGCTTTTATTTACGGCCTTTCATGGTGCAATTACGGTTAAACTTTCTAAATAATCGGAAGCTCTCAGCTGTGCGAGATAAGCTCCCAAACGCTGTTTGCTTAGATAAGGTCCCAAACGCTAGCTCTGATGGGGATACCTAGAGTGATAAAGCCAGAGCCGCGTTGTTATCAATTTTGGTTGTTTATATATGTGACAAAAAACAACTTACAACTCTCATGGATATCCTTTTGTTGAGGTTTTCTTCATTCACCGAGCGGATCCTTTCCTCTAATTCGGTCATGTAAGTCTTGTCCGTCAGCCGAACGAGATTGGAGCCCATATGCTTCTCAAGTCGGGCACGTACATGAGGGTGGGCAAAGCTGGAGGAATTAAATTTCAGTTATAAAAATGATAGTAAGTTGCTCCTAAAAATTTTAAAACTTTTGATTAGTCAAAAGTTTTTCGAGAATATGAATTGTAATGATTATTTCCGCAGCTTGTTTTACCTTTATATATAAAGATTACGTGTCACGTTGTTTGTCCGCAATGAACTCCTAAACTACTGAACTGATATCAATTAAATTTTGCACATTGTGTGTAGTTTGGTCCAACTTGAGAGATAGGATAGTTTTTATTCCGATAAGTGACCATCAATTTTTTTATTGCTAATTTCAGGAGTTTTTCTAGGAAAGCAAACGGTCATCGGAAAAGGTAGAACAACGTCTGCCTGGCGAGCTAGTATTTTATATATCAGTCTTACTTTTTTTTACAGGATAAGGGTGACAAACGAGCACACAGTCCACCTGATGGTGAGTGGTTGCTGTCGCCCATAGACATCTACATTTATCCTCAATTACGAATCAAAATGCAGATGCGTTGTCACCCGTGAGGACTAAGATGGAATGCCTCGTTTCCAGTATAAAGGGTCTCCGGTTCTCTACACTCACCATACGAAACACAGCAGCATTAAGCTGCTATTTTACGATGGTATTTTGTGAGAGCGTGGTCCTTCCTCGGTCGAGCCGACCCATTCGTGTTACAACTATACCAGAAATATAGCTGTAACATGGCTCTACCACGTAATTACTTTAAGGGATATGCTAGTACGTATCACATTGGACATGCTGGTTCGTGTTGGCAAATACAATATACCTTTGAACTGTTAATGCTGCTTCCAATGACTAGTCTTTGGGATTTGGGAGAGTTTTGATGGATTTATCGTCGTTTATCTCTAGCCCACAAAAATTTCTTTGTTTCAACTAGCGATTTCAGATGATTAAACAATTTTAATAACTGCATCGTAGTCATTTTTCAAATTTCGTCCTGTCCATTATGAACATAAGGACAGAATTTATAGCTAGACTAAATAAACGTAACTCACGTTTAACGTTAAACGTTAGTACGAACGCAAATGTAACTCACTTATAGCCAATTGGCCGTACCAATTGAAAAAAAAAAACTGTATAATCGGTAGCAGATGAGGATGTAATGATATAAATATAATAGATACAAGAAGACAACCATAGTAGTTTTAAATAAATATTGGTAGCTTTTTAAACAAAACTGAAGTGACTTACTAACTTACAGCCTCCCTGGTGGTAAGTGGCTACTGCAACCCATGAATACTACCAGACAAATTCAAACAAAGGCTACAGATTTTTTAGTGGTAGAGCCACGCTGCAGCTATATTGTGGTTATAGTACGAATGGGTCGGCTCGACCGGGGTAGGACCGCGATCTCACAGAATATCAGCGTAAAATTGCAGCTGTATGCTGTTGTGCTTGTTATGGTGACTGTGGGGAACCGGAGACCCTTGTCACTGGAAACGAAACATTCTGTTTAGTCCTCAGGGTTGACAACGCTAAATGTAGATATCTATGGACCACAGCATCTACTTACCATCAGATGGACTGTTTGCTCGTTCGTCACCCTTATTCTACAAAAAAGTCTCTGTGGACTCAGATGGAATGCCTTACAGACTGTAGTTATACAGGCTCTCTATATCCTTCAGACCGCCATACAGCAGCTGGGCGTGGGATAAAAAGATAAATTACTTCGAGTACCTGTGTACTAAATAAATTTTTTCTTTTTATAGAATCAATTTGAAACATTTGTATGTTGTATGCTTATAATTATTATAAAGAAAATTAGTTAAAGTAAAAAAAAAATAATGGATATTGTAGATATAAACGACAAACTGGTGTACAACATATAAAAAGCAATTAGTCAATTTCAAGATTTCTTAGCAAACGCGAAAAGGCCTTTGTACTCCTACATGTAAAAAAATACTACTGCAGAAAAAAATGTAATAATGTTTTACATTTGAATACAAAATTAAAAAAATATTGTTTTCATAATTTAAGAAGTAACTTACGTGGCCCGCGCGGGATTGTGAAGTGTTTGCCGATTCGTCTTGATTAGTATTTCGATAGACGTAGAGGAAAAAGCAGACTTTCAGTCTAGCCGGCTTTGCCGTAAAGTTTTAGTAGTTTTGACGGTAGGTGCCCGTGTCATAGTTGAGACCTTTATCGAGGTATAAAATGGGCCTGGTACAGTATGGCACAGCCCCCGCCAACACCACATATAAGGGGTGTTAAAGAAAACGTACACACTTGTCTGTATAGTGATTGACTCCGGAAAATGAATTAAATAAAGTCATTTTTTAAATTATTGCATTAATAGTGTATACGTTAAGAGTAGACGTTATTTTTGTTACATTCTGCAAAACGTTCTATTATAACATAACTTTAGAAAAACCCTAACAATTGTATATAATTTCAGCCCAGTTAAACGGAACAACATTTATGTATCGTGAGTCTGAACTGACCAAGGTTATTAATACTTGTCATAATATCTGCTTTAATTAATATTTTAGTACAATAGTAGGTACGTAAGTAAATATTCAAATACTTTTGTATTAAAACAGTATTTACAGAATTCTTAACATCGGCACTACACACCAAAATTTTGTTACACTTATAAATTAAATTAAATTGCATAGCATACATTTTTATTTTATAAACTTTAGTAAAATACTATCTTACCTAAAAGATAAAAGCAAGAAATCCTTCCTGAAAGTGTGTAGATTACGATACCGAAACTATCACCAAAATGTATTTATTTGTTTATGAGACATTCGCGGATATTTATATATACATACATGCTTTCATATGTATATACATACGGGTCGAATACGGACCCTGCATTTTTAAAATCGGTGAAAATATAGTGGATTAAGCTGTTGTGTGATCGTCTTTATATTCCGTGACTAAATGCTGTCAAACAATCATATGAGTATAGCGTGGGAGTTTTTTTGGATTATCCATCGTTAATGGGAAAAGTGCTCCTGTCAACAATGTTATCAATTTAATGACGGCCCGGTAGAGCACAGACTATTTGGCTACGTTACTATGTGTCGCAAGTTCGATTCTACATAATTGTCTATTTAATTTGTGTGCGTAAATAATATTTTTGTTGTTGCAATCCAATACTGAACGTAATCATTTCAAGGATTTTCTGTCTACAATAGATACGACAAATTACTTATTACATGTCACTAGTAACATACAAAGTTTCGTTAATACCTAAAGTAGGTTGCTTATTTATTACAAACTTAACAACGAATCACTTTTACTTTTACTCATCGTAAACAACAACAGTCAAGTCAACAACAATCAACTTAAAAAAAAATTAACTGCACTACATTATACTAAAATTGACTAAAATATTTACAATAATATCAACTGTAAAAATGGTGTCGCTTAAGCAGCGCCCTTTTGACCCTTTATTAATTGATTGACTGATGAAGAGCTATCGTATCACAAAACCATCTATGCAAATAATATTGTAGTTGCTGAGTAATAAGAATGTGACCATATTAGACGGATGACCATATTACCCTCACGTACTATAGTAGACTATTTGGAATGTGACACTCAAAACACAGTCTCTTTAGGTAGCTGCAATCAGTATAGTTGCTTTTACGAGAATATTTCTCAGCAGCTCTGTGATGCGCATCCTGGTACCGTTGCATAATTTCAACAGGATTAGGACGCCAACTTTTACCCCAAGTTTATGAAAAAACGTCTGTTAAATTCAAGCAGTTAACAGATTAATTACTTAGCGATATCACTGCCCTCGCATATAATTTAAATCTACATTGTAGATATTATTCATTAAATGTATAAAAAATTAATTTGTCACATACGTCCGTTTCAGTCACCCTTTCCGATCTGTAAGTAGTGTTAGATTACTGAAAGGAAAAATCACGTTCATGTCGGAAAATAATAATAGGCGATTTTATGATTTCATAAATCTCCCAAACTAAACAGGTTTGACTTATTGACATTAACAGAGAGGTTTATAGAGATATTTAGTTACTGAATATTAAGTAACGCTCAAATGTAAACAGTCACGCTTCAATAACTGTAAAACATGTCGGTGAATATAAATTTTATGATACAGTGTCTCGTCGCTTACGTAAGGATGATAATAATGATTTTGAATAAACTATAATGCTTTTTATATTTTACATTTCGATTACCATGTGGTTTAGTAGTACGTGTATCTACAGTCCTGGGTTCGATCTAAGCAGTACGGTTACCTTTACAATACATTGCTGGAGACATGTATCTTATAATTTCAGGAAGGATTTGTCGTAATCTCCACTCTTTGCTGGAGGATTGAATATCGCAGTACTTGAAGTCGCGCTTCCTTGACGCTTCACTCACTAACTTTTGAATTCCATATTGAAAATTTTTCTATCCGACAGTAACAATAAAATCTGTTTTTATGAAATTAAAGCTTTATTATTTGGTAAAGGTAATTTCGAGAATTAATGACTCAATTGGCAAAATAATATTCCAAGTTTTTTTAAAAATATATTTTTTGATTTACAAAGTTTTCATACAAGAAAAAATACAAGTCTAAATATAATCAGAGTTGATTTATTTAACATGAAGGTTAGTCGAGATAGTGTAAACGAGGTTAATTTTTAATTGGGTCGTAGCTAAATGAAGATAGGTAGGGTGTGGCGATAGAGCATGTGGGCAGAGCGACAAAATGGGAAGTATTGGTACTTTATGAAAAATAATTCAATAGCACTGATAAACGTTGACATTGAATAGGAAAAATAACCATCTGTATAGGCTGTTAAAGAAAATTTATTTGTTTAAAAGTAAAGAATAGTTCAATTTTAATAAGTTCAGAGCAAGTTAGTCATTGTTCTTAATATTTATTGAATTAGATTTTAATTACAATAGTCTCCAATGACAATTACAACAGTAACCAGAGTGACCGACATAGCCCAACGGATTAGTAAGCTGAAGTGGCAATGGCCATATAACTCGAAGAACCGACAACCGATGGGGAAAAAAGGTTC